AAATTAGGCCAATTAATAACCCTACAATGGCTTACAAGTGTTCAAGTGAAAGGAAGAGTCACATATCTCCCACTTAAAAGCTGGAAATGATTAAGCTTAGTGAGGAAGGCATGTCAACAACTGAGACAGGCTGAAAGCCAGCCTCTTGTACCCAACAGTGAGCAATTTTGTGAATGCAGAGGTAAAGTTCTTGAAGGAAATTAAAGTGCGACTCCAAGTAAACTCAGAAGTGACAAGGAAGCAAACCAGCCTTATTGCTGATATGGAGAAAGTGTTAGTGGCCTGGGTTGAAGATCAGACCAGCTACAACATTCCCTTAAGCCAAAGCCTAATCCAAAGCAAGGCTCTAATTTTCTTCAATTTTTTAAAGGCTGCAAGAGGCCCTAACTTTCTTCAGTTTTGTGAAGACTGCAGAAGAAAAGTCTGAAGCTAGCCCAAGTTGGTTCATAAGATTTAAGGAAAGAAACCATAATATACCAATCTCCGTAGTATAAAATGCAGTGTGAAGCAGCAAGTGCTGATGTAGAAGCTGTAGCGAGCTACCCAGAAGATCCTGCTAAGTTAATGAATGAAGGTGGCTACACTAAAACCAGATTTTCAGTGTAGATGAAACAGCCTTGTATTGGAAAAACATGCCATCTAGGACCTTCATAGCCAGAGAGGAAAAGCCAGTGCCTGGCTTCAAGCTTTAAAGGACAGGCTGACTCTCCTTTCAGGGGCTAATGCAGCTGGTGACTTTATGTTGAAGCCAGCGGTCAGTTTCCATTTGAAAATCCTAGGGCCCTTAGAATTATGTTAAACCCACTCTGCCTGTGCTCTATAAATGGAACAACAAGGCCTGGATGACAGAACATATGTTTGTAACATGCTTGTCTGAATATTTTAAGTCCACTGCTGAAATGTACTGCTCAGAAAAAAAAGAGCCCCTTCAAAATATTACTGTTCATTGGCAATGCACCTGGTCACTCAGAGCCCTGATAGAGATAGGCAGCAAGATTAATGTTGTTTTCATGCCTGCTAGTACAACATCCATTCTGCAGCCCAGGGATCAAGGAGTAATTTCGATTTTCAAGTCTTAGTATTTAAGAAATAGATTTCATAAGGCTATAGCTGCCATAGTGATCCCTCTGATGGATCTGGGCAAAGTAAATTGAATACCTTCTGGAAAGGATTCATGATCCTAGATGCCATTAAGGACATTCATGATTCATGGGAAGATGTCAAAATATCAGCATTATCAGGAGTTTGGAAGAAGTTAATCCCAACCCTTGTGAATGACTTTGAGGGATTCAAGCCTTCAGTGGAAGAAGTAACTGCAGATGTGGAAACAGCAAGAGAACTAGTTAGAAGTGGAGCCATGTGACTGAATTACTGCTATCTCGTGATAAAACTTCAGTGGGGGAGAATTTGCCTTTTTTTTTTTTTTTTTAATATATCTTTATTGATTTCAGAGAGAGCAAAGGAGAGGGAGAGAGAGAGACAGAAACATCAATGATGAGAGAGTCATCGATCAAGCCCACAACTGGGCATGTGCCCTGACCGGGAATCGAACCC